TAGCTAAATACAGAATGTAGAATAGAAATGAGTAGAAATATAGGTGGAGTTAGGGTGATTGACAGGATTAGATGAACATATTTCTCCCAAAATGTAATTTATAACTCCAAGAGGAGAGACCTAAATGTCAGCATACAATCACGACTTCCAAATTCCTTGTATTTGCATGATATTCTCTTACTATCTTGGCTCTTAAATGACTATGATAATATAGCACTGATGCTAACAAAACACTGAGTTTTAGACACAGTTTATATGCACCAATTTTCACCAATCAGAATGAATCCAATCTGCTTTTATATTCTAAAAGTGCTGTTTATATAAACCCTAAACTTTATAGTCCGATTCACATATCCATTTAAAGATGCATTTTGTCGCATTTAGAACTGGATAAAGTCACTGCAGTGATGTCACCAGAGTTACTGTGAGTACAATTGTGATTTTTGCTTTGATGATACATCTAAAAACAAAGCTGACATATGTCAGAAGAGCTTTTTCGCATACATTTAGTAAATATTCTGTCTCCTCTACTGACCAGTTCGTAAGATGAAAGATGGAAATAAACAGGCATGTTCGCACAACGTAAAATGTATGTAAATATGCATAAAAGGTGTTTTTGAATCCGATTAAGATGATTCAAGCGTTTACATGCTCAGTACACAATTGAGTGGGGCCCCGCGGACAGTAACTAAGTACATTTACTTGAGTATTGTACTTAAGTACACTTTTTGAGTATCTGTACTTTACTTGAGTATTATTTTTTCTGGGAACTTATGACTTTAACTTCACTACATTTGAAAGACAAATATTGTACTTTTCACTCCACTACATTTCTATCAAGGTCCTCGAAGTAGAAAGTCATTACTCTGTAGCAGCTTTGAAAGTCAGTGGAGTAATCACTAATTTATCAGTAATCACTCTTGGGGCTATATGAAGTGATTTCCCAGCATTTTTTGAACACTGACCAGTTGCAAATGTGATATTTATTTACAACAATTCAATAATAAGAAGTTAATATTGTGGTATATATTAGACACAATATTGTCTGATTTTGCTAAATTGTGTACGTGAAAATATTACCTATAAAGCCACAGAAGAACTGTTGTGCATCTCCTAATAAAACACAATAGGTGTTGGACTTGAAGCAGCACTGCACAGACCGTTCTGTCTGTGATATCAAAGTACCGCGACAGCAATTAGACAGCATTTTTACCATTTTTGTTTTGATGTCAAATAAGTCTTGCTGTTTTGCTTTTTTGTTAAAGCAGTGTTGCTGTTGTCAAATTGTACAGCTACTGTTGTGTTGCTGGTTTTTAAAGCAGTTTTGATTTTTTTTTCTTCCTTATCACTGTCACGAATTCGGTCCATGGACTTCCGTTTATTCACCACCAGAGGTCACCCTTTCCATTACATTGACTCTCGCACAACACAAACTGTTGCATAGCACCCCGGACTACATATCCCATCATTCATGGCACGGTTTGCACACTGCACTGATTGCACTCATTGCACACAGCTGTTTCTTATCACCTCACTCACTATATAACACCCACTCAAACCACCATTCTCTGCTAAGTATTGTTTAGCCTATACCCCTTTCCGAGTCTCCGTGTTTTCCTTGTTTTGCCTTGCCTGTTTTTGCGGTTTCTGATCTTTGCCTGTTTTCCTGGATTTTTCCCTCTTGTCTCGCCCCTGTGATTCTGTCTGCCGATCGGTGACCTACGCTAGCCCTAGGACTATTCTTGTGTTTTTGCCCGCCATATACCTGTGTGCCATTGTTCGACCCTGCCTGTTATACCACGTCTCTTTAATAAAAGCTTGCAGATGGATCCACACGTCTCACATCTCGTCAGCCCCGTTACAGAATACTCAGCCCTACAAGGACCCAGCAGCTTTTCTGAGGAACATTGGCCAGGTATGGACACAGCAAGGATTTTGTTAGCCCTTAAACAGGGTCCACGATCATTGGAGAACCATATCAGAGAGTTTTTAGCCATCGCTCACTATTCTGAGTTACCAGACTGTTTACTGATAGAGTTTTTCTGCGATGGCATAAATCAACGTCTTAGGGCTAAGCTTAGACGCGAGGGTCCACGTTCATCACTCGCTCAGTTCATGGATTATGCATTGTTGACTGTCGGATCTTTGTTTACTGTGGGTGTCGCGGAGGAAGAACGCGACACAATGTCTGATCACAAGATGGCAGCGACAGCGGAGCACACTCACAAGATGGCGGACACAACAGCATCTAGTCAAGTCACGGTTGATCATCATGAATCAAGTCAAGTTACAATTCATTATCATGAGTCAAGTCACAGCTAATATTCATGAGTCTAGTCAAGTCACAGCTAATATTCATGAGTCTAGTCAAGTCACAGCTGATATTCATGAGTCAAGTCACAGCTGATCTTCATGAGTCAAGTCAAGAAACAGCTGTGTGCAATGAGTGCAATCAGTGCAGTGTGCAAACCGTGCAATGAATGATGGGATATGTAGTCCGGGGTGCTATGCAACAGTTTGTGTTGTGTGAGAGTCAATGTAATGGAAAGGGTGACCTCTGGTGGTGAATAAACGGAAGTCCATGGACCGAATTCGTGACAATCACTCTGTATTTACAGGATTTCACTGTCCACTCTGTTCAAATGTGGATAAATGGCTACACATAGATGTGTGCACACACTGTCAGAGTTGTGTGAGATCACTACCATCCTGCTTTTGTGGGGGTGGGTAGGGGTGTTCAATGTTTTTTTTTTCCCCATTGGGTTTTTAACATTCTAAAAGCTCTTTATTCCAAAGATACTACAAGCTAGTCAGTGTATTCAGTAGGTGTAATGTATTGTAAGTTGCTTCAGAAGTATTGCAAGTATTACGTACAACAATAAAACAGTGCATTGACATAAAGGTACTTTTGGTACTGAAGCACTTTTAAAAGCAAGTACTTCTGTACTTTTATTTAAATAAAAATCTGTCTTTACAACTTTTACTTGTAATATTTGACCAGCAGTATCTGTACTTTCACTCAAGTAATGGAGTTGAGCACTTTGTCCGCCTCTGCCCACGGTCCAGGGAGGCCTCTGCAGAACATGATTTCTACCAAGGGGACCCCCCCATGGGCCACTTGTTAGGGCCCCCAAAACTCTAAACTCTGTACATGCTTATTTTTTTCTCTATTGATCAGATTATTTCAGGTCTACACCACCCCTTCCAATTCGATTGAATTGACTGTGTTTACATGAAGGATTTTCAATCAGAATTAAGTCATCAATCGGATTACATACATTTGAACAAATGCAGATGAGCTGAAGGCCACTGTCAAAGAAACCTGGGCTTCCATACCACCTCAGCAGTGCCACAAACTTATCACCTCCATGCCATGCCGAATCGAAGCAGTAATTAAAGCAAAAGGAGCCCCTACCAAGTATTGAGTACATGTACAGTAAATGAACATACTTTCCAGAAGGCCAACAATTCACTAAAAATGTTTTTTATTGGTCTTATGAAGTATTTGTTGAGATATGAGAATGTGAATTGGTGGGTTTTTGTTAAATGTGAGCCAAAATCATCACAATTAAAAGAACCAAAGACTTAAACTACTTCAGTCTGTGTGCACTGAATTTATTTAATACACAAGTTTCACAATTTGAGTTGAATTACTGAAATAAATGAACTTTTCCATGACATTCTAATTTATTGAGATGCACCTGTAAAGGCAGTGTTTTTATTATGATTTCATTTGTCATTATGGCATGAGCCCACACCTGCCCAAATTTAAACAAGAAATAAACATACATGACATAGATGCAGCAGATGTTTCCTTTCTGTTGTTGTTGCTGTCGAGTGTCTTCATTCAAAGCTTAATCGCACATCTCCATTCATTCCTATATGTGCTCATTTCAAAACGGCATGTTCAGGGATGAAGTCTAGTCTTCTGTTACACAATCTAGCATCCTTTCTTCAGCATAAGAACAACAACAGCGGCTCTGTCGGTGTCTGTGTGTGTATGTGGGCGATGGGGGAGTGGATTTATAGGGTAGATTAGAGCAAACGTGAACACGCTTTGCCAGCCGTGTGTACATTCAAACGCCCGTGGGTGGCGCCAAAAGAGCAAAGAGCGCTCAGCTTTTAACTGTTGAATGCATCAAACTGTATTTGTTCATTGGATGCGATTCCAACTCGATCAATAATCATCACATTTTATGACCCAATTGCTCAGTATTATGATCAATGCACGAGAAAGTAATGAGTAATGACACAGCCAGCAGTGCCCCGTGGGTGACCATTGGAAGGCTCTGATGCTTAAAGACTTTGAAGCCACCTCTTTAAAACTAACAACTTTAATAAAAAATAAAAAAACAAACAGATAAAGACATTTGCTAAACGAAATGGTGATGCGTACGACTCGCCTCTAAACGAATCGTTTTCCAAAACCGGTTAAAGTGATTATTTTTAATAAGGCCATCACGTGGTCCCTGTTTTTGATTACATTTTATTTAAAGGCATTTTTACTGTTCATTTTATGTCTACCAGTCCATTTCCTATATAGCCAACTCGGCTCATTAAAATAACATCTTGCAGCATATGGAAATTTTCGTTTGTATATTAACATTCTGATTTTCTGCTATTTAAGTAATTCGCTTTTAGGTCCATCAGTCAAATCCTCCGTTCATTCCGAAGGGTGCTACTATCAGATCACATTTCTCGGTCCGAGAACGGCGGTGTTGTTTTGAACACAAGAAAGTGCAATGACTTTTGAACCGATTCAGTCAAATTCTGGTTGTGTGAACTGGTTAAAACAATTCACTGAAGAGGTCTGACCCGATTTGTTCACGAATCTGTCTTGCTAATAGGAAGCGATGAAACGCATTAAAAAGGATATGGGCCATATATATTAGGCTATTAACAATTATTTTCCTAACCTAATTGTGCCTTTTTCGTCAAACAGCCTGTGGTGCACAAGAGCCCCACCTCCTGTCGGTCTGCGCGTCCGCCTGTGCGCGCTTCTAGAGGGGCAACAGCGCGCGGTGCTGAGAAATCTCCTCACTCTCTCTCTCTCCCATGCATAGAAATGCAGGATTAACCCTGTGCGGAGAAGATCCCTGTGCCAAAACTGCGTTGATAGTCTACTTCTGAGGAAAGCGAAGGGGAAAACCCGATTCCATACGTTCTGCCATGTACTGTTAACATTTTTACATTATTTCCGTTAGATTACGCTATCATTCCGTAACGAATAACGAGCTGCACTGTCAAAATTTGTGAGAACCTGTACTCTCCTAAAATGACTGTTTGAGGATTTATGGACTGCACCGGGGGGAGTCGCTCGTATTAGAACTGTCCTTGTGTTGAGAAACAACAGAAAAGACATTTCAACACCCATCATCAGCCGTAATTTCCAATCCATTAACACTTAAATGAGTGCCGACGTTTTCAAACTGACGCGGAGTCGTGGGAATGGCGTGGGAAAATAACGCGTCCACTTATGGATTGGTTTCAAACGAAAGGATGTTATGTTTTCTTGATGTCTGGATTCTTTAAAGCAGGTGTTTAGGGGTCCTTGTAACCACGAAGGAAACATCAGCAGTAGTTGATCCTCAGACAAGAAGCCTCGGTCTCTGCAGGAAAAAGTCATCGACGAAGGTAGGCAATGAACTTTATTGACGCCAATGGAAAATGAATAAAGCTGAGGGGAATGCTCGTTATGTCGATGGCTCATATTTAAATCCTCGATACGCAGCGGTATGCCACTGCAGAAACGGTAGTGATTTTGAAAGAGTGCCTATATCGATTTCAGTGATATGTGTGGCAGCCCTTATTATTTCGAGATTCTGACCGCATTTAGACGGGGTTTATGTGCCGCAGAATCAATCGGGCTGTTTAGGTTTACATACAAATAACCACTTGTTTGTTGCCACTAGTATTTAATGCGACGCGAATTCACGATTCTTATTTATTAGTGCTGTAAAGATCGAACATCTATTCGTACGGATCCAGCTGCGGTGAAGATAGTTGCCGAACGACCAGTTGAATGTGCTGTTTGCCGTGCGCGAGTGCAAGTCATGTGTAACATTATTATCGTTAGTAACTCGTCATCTAGTAGCACTAGGTTGGATTTTATTCCACAGGGCAGCAGATAAAAAGGAAATCGCAGTCGAGCGCCCACCTGGGCTGGCTGGGTCAACAGCAGGATCAATGTTTGGTCAAATCCCAGTAAGACTGATAGGATTCCCCCATCCACCATCTCAACCCACAACCATGTCTGAGCTCAAAGGAAAGGATGGTATGCGTCTACAAAGTGGGGTTTACAATAAATAAATAAATAAAATCCAAGACAAACCCCCTGTGAGATTATATTATTATTAATAATAATAATAATAATTATTATTATTATTGATACATACATTATCATAAAGCTATCAATAACAAAAAAGCAAACTAATAATGCACTTACAATAAAATAAATTATATATTCCTAATGAGCTTATGCAAAGGATGCATGGTCTTAAACAGACATTTCTGAATCCATTTGCCTGTAAAATGGCCCAGCGTTTGTCCATAGGGAAAGGTATGGCTAATAATATGAGTAACTGATTTAATTGGACTGAGCTGAAATGCTAAACCTGTTGAACCTGAATGAATGCGATAACAGATGATTTAGAGCACTGCAGAAAAATAAAAGGTCACAATACTTCAGGGAAAATAAAATTAACTATCAGTCTGCATGAACTATCAGTCTCAAGAGCAGAGTGAAAATGACTTTAGAACTTGTTTAGGGTGGCTCTCCCGCATGTTCATTTCTGAAATTGTTGCAGGCATCTTGTGCAGTGTAAGCAAGGCTTGAAATGTACAACTAAGGGTTCTGTCTGAAAGTGCTTGTGCTGGATTTTCAACAGACCTCTGAATAGTCTCAGCACTGTGTGAGCCTGATACACTGGCTGAATGTGGCAGGTTCGTTTAGATTGTCTAGGTGTTTACCAGCGTTCACTAGGGAAGTGATACATAGTGAACATATGTTCTGCTCTTTGCCTCTCCACAGCATGAAACCAACTGATGCCTTTGAAACAGACCCTATAGCTAATGTTTTCATCAACATATTTTCTGGTGCTTACACTTGAGTTCAGAGCTATTATAATAACCTTTTGTTCATGAGGCACTCTGAATAGCTAAAAATCAACAGCACTTAAATAGTTTGTTGAGTGTTTGTAGACTCTTATCAGGATGAGATGAAGTGCTTATGCTCTTGGGGTGTTTGAAGAGTCTCTTATGTAAAGCATGTTTCCGTGTTTTACATTTTTAATATTATTATTATTACTACGATTTGCTAAATCCATGTATGAATCTCTGTCAATTTATTGTGGCTGCTGAGGGAGTTAAAAATGATAATGGCTTCTACAGCCTGTCAAATGTGGCATGAAAAAGCACTCAAATGAACCTCCCCCTTACACATTTTTTCAGCAAAAAGTTTTCACTTTCCTGTGAACCGCCCCAACAAAGGCAAAATGCAATAACCATGTCAGTGCTGGAACTGAGGAAAAAGAGCTTAATTTTTTGATTGATTTTTATACTCTGTTTTCTCTGAATCTGAGGATAGTTCAGCTAGACCTGTCTGTCAGAGGACAGATCATAGACTAAGAGACCCAATTTCGGTCATAACCCACTTTTGACAAAATGTGTAGTTATTGTGCTTTTGTCTATGTAGTGCAGTGCTGCGTCAGTGAATTTCTATTCAGTTTGAATTGCGTGGTTATACAGTAGAACTGGCTTGAAGGTTCCTCAGTTGTAGGCAGGTTTATTGCTTGCATTTTTTTTTTGTCACAAATCATTACATGCACTAGTCATTTACTTGGAGCAGCATACTTAAAGCCATTAAGGTTTATAAATTCTGAGAAGAACAAAAAACAAAAACAAAATATAGCTGCAAGCAGCAATTGCCGGGGTTCAAGCATTTTAAGGCCACGAAGGTGGTATGCTTTTAGGGTCTAGGCCAACCTGGATGTATGGCTGACAGTAAAACACATCCAAAATGGAGAATATGCTCACAGACACACACACACACACACACACACACACTGAAATAATTAAACTAGTTTATTAAAACTCAATAAGCATACTTAAACACACAGACACAGACATAAATTCACACACATTTTGTTGCAGATATAGATATTTGACATAAATGATAGGTGACAAAACTTATTGCAAGTCTTCTCTTTTTAAGAGTTTACATGTCATTTTCAGGTTTCACTGTAATCATAATTTGGCATAATTGTAAAATGTGATATGTCTGTATGAACAAAATGGTAAATTTGGACTCAATGTGATTTTAAATGTTATAACAGTGATTTTATAATGTCTAGCATGAATCCATAACCTAACCTATGAACAGTACTGTTTTAGGGCATTTAATGAGGCCATTAGTGGTCTTCCGCTGCCATCTAGTGGTTATAGATGCAATTTTTCATACAACACTTGTGTTTTTAACTTTTATAACTGTTAAAGTGTTATTTTTTTGCCCAATCTCTCTTAAATTTGTCATGCTTGTTTAGAATAAAATTATGTATCATTTTACATGAGAGATGCTGAATTTGTTTTTTCTGTCTTATAGCGCCCCCAAGTGGCAGAGCTGCGCAATTTTTTTTATTTGACCAAAGATTGAGCTCATACATATGTGTACCAAGTTTGGTGAAGATATCTCATTCCGTTCAAGAGTTATAGCTAAAATAACATTTGGCTAACGTTAGCATAGACGCTTTTTGGGGAACGGTTTCGCGCAACAATGGAAATTTAAACTTTTTTTTAATAATTATTGATATTCAATGTCCACCAAATATTTTTGCAGTGGTTTGGTTCCGATCAGGCAAAAAACCTAGGACTAGTTCGCAAAAGTAAGTTTGGGATATAGGTCAATTTTACGGAAAAACCGTGCGTCCTAGAGAAAATCTGAGTGACTCCTCTACTTTTGTTCGGGCTAACCCAAGGATCGCAACGATGTAAAATTTTTGAGTCTACGACAAAAGGTGCACGAGTTAGGGCCAAAAATGTCTGAAATTTTAGGTTTTTGCGCTGTAGCGCCACCTATTGGCCGATTGGGCTGAGACTTTGATAGGTTCTCCCCAAATTGAGCTCTATCATTTGGCCAAGTTTCAAGTCTCTAGGCCTTACGGTTTGGTCTGCACGATCAGTTTTAGGGGAGAAGAATAATAATTAAAAAATAAATAAAAATCCTAACAATTACAATAGGGTTTCAGCACTTCGTGCTTGAACCCCTAAAAACAATGCACCAAAACGCCACAAAATTGCATTTTCTCCACTAAGACATAATGCATGGGCCAACATATCACCACCGTTAGGAGCATTTTTACATGTCTGTAGCAGTAGATCCAGTGTTCCAGTCTCACTGCATTACTTGTGGTTGCTGGTGTGGTTGCTCACTGCATTACCACCTTCCCACTGCCATGAGTGCAAGTTATTGCCTGGGCCTTCAGAGGCTGTGCTTTATGCCACAGCCCCAATCATGTTTTTACCCTATACACTATCAGCACAGCTAAATCGACAGGAGACTGCCCTACAAATGAAAAAAGAGGACACATCAATACCTGGGCAATTAGTGCATCAATATGCTGCACTCCCAATCTTAACAGATACGAAGGAATTGGATTTCTGATTGGATTTCTATGCATTCTTGTGTTTAGCTATTTTGTATAACACTTATTTACTTTCCTTTGTATCATGGCTGCTTGCAAAGCCTGTATTGATTCTGGTTTGACTCATGCTCCATTCTAGATGTTACATGATTGTTTTGCATATAAACATATGGGGTCTTCAAAAACCGTAGCATTAAGTGCCCCAGATGAATAAACTGCCTACTGTCTTTTAAAGGCGCAACATCATCTCACTCAGAAAATAATTAAACTCAAAAACTATATGGTGCTTAAAAAGGAGAGAAACCTGGATCCAGGGAAATACAGATCAAAGCAGATGCTAAAATAGAGGATAGTAATTACTGAGGAGGCCTAGCAGGTTGAAAATCAAACATGAGCATTACAGTGTGTAAATTAGCCTGAAACTTCTGAGCCTTGATAGGACAGATATTCCTCATCTGTCTTGAGTAAATCTGTACTTTGAAATAAGGGCTGGCCGTAAGGTGCTCTGTGACTTAAGAGTGCAGTGTCTTAATATACCAGTGTTTCACTGAGGGGAATCTTTCAGCTTACATTCTGTGATGCTGAATGGTTCCTTTGCTGTGTTAGCAGTCTTCTTCGTACCTTTTGTCTCATCAGCACTTTGCATTGAGAAACTGCCTATTTTACATTATGGGCCAATCAAATGAGTGTAACCTTCATTAAAGTGAAGTCATCCAAAATAATAGCCCCATCACTGGCTGTGAATATGCATTGGATTAAGCATATGTTGAAGAAAGTGCATTATAAACTGCATGTAAGATGGTTTAATTTATTTTGTAAATAGTACAAAGCTTGCTGAGCTGTTGTTTCGAGCCTAACAGTAACCCATACCTTCTTATTAAAAAGTCCATTAAGAAGTGTCTTATTGCGTTTTCTAAATCATTAATTTTCAAAAGCATCTTAAAAAAAGGCTTAAAAATTAACATTTTCCTCTGTGGTATTAATAGGGATGATGTAACTTCCAGATTTAAGAAATTAAGCATTGCTGTAGCAATTAAGGTACTAAATCATTGGCTGAAGTTGAAAACATTACCATGGTTTCAAACACCTTTTTGAACGACATTTGTACAGTAGGTCTTTATTGTCTTTCTTTACATACAAGTAATCGTCTGCTCAAAAATGAGGATGATAAATAATGTAAGATAATGAGAGAGGAGGCTTTTAGTGGTGTCGGGGGAAGAGGCATTTTCCGGAGAGCTTTTACAACTCTTAGCCTTGGATTTAGTGCTCACAATGTGTACACAAAACAGTGTGTGCTGTGTGCATTCTGTTTCACCCTTGGCTAGTCCCTCACTGGTAAAGTAAATTAAAAGAAAAAAGGAAATTCGTTTTTCTATGTTTGTTCAAATGAGTACCACATGACACACTTGTTTACGATTTAACATGTTTTTCCACACTGTTTTGCAGACTGAGGTGTTACCTCTCCAAGGGCCCATGGATCTCCCTGTGGTGTTGTTTCTGCTGTGGGGACTGTTACTGGACTTGCTGAGTGGTGCGGTGGGTGGCATTCTATATCGCGTGCATGAGGAACAACCTCCGAGCACACTGATTGGCAGTCTGGCGGCTGACCAGGGCCTTCCAGACACTGGACACCTGTACAAACTGGAGGTGGGCACTCCCTATCTGCGGGTTGATGGCAAAACTGGAGATATCTTTACAACTGAGATCCCCATAGACAGAGAGACACTGAAGGATTGTCGTAATAAGGGCAAGCCCTGCTTTCTGGAGTTTGAGGTGTCTGTCACAGACCTTATTCAGAATCAGAGTCCACGGCTGGTAGAGGGAAGGATCGAAGTGCAGGATATCAATGATAACACACCACAGTTCCCCTCACCTGTCCTAACCCTCTCAGTTCCAGAGAACACCCACGTGGGGGCACTCTTCTCAATTTCACTGGCCACTGACAAAGATACGGAGAGAAATGGAGTAGCTGACTACACCTTAACAGCAGGACCGGAGGCTGTAGCACTCTTTGGTCTGCAAGTTGCAGAGGACAGAGGTGAAAAATTGCCTCAACTCATTGTGTTGGGAAGCCTTGATCGAGAACGGAAAGACTCCTACGATCTCACCATCAAAGCTGTGGATGGAGGCAATCCACCTCGTTACAGCAGTGCCTTGCTGAGGGTCGTCATTGCTGATGCCAACGACAATGCACCCCAATTTGAAAAATCCTCCTACGAAGCAGAGGTCGCAGAGAATAGCCCAGTTGGACATTCTGTGTTACAGGTAAAATGGCAAACATGCTAAGTCAACCTTTATATCTGAACAAAGCTAGATAAATTGCCTGTTGCATCATGTTGGAGTGTGAAATTTTAATGAGTGCTGCTTTTCCAACCTCCCAGCTGTCTGTTCTTTACTTTGATATCTTACATCAGTGGAGCAGGGCCTGACTTACTAGATTCATTTTCCTTAATTATTTGAATTATCCAGTTTGATCATCACATACACATTCATCTAGTTAAAGAATAAATAAGTAAAAAAAATACACATTAATTTGGTTAAATAAAATAGCCTACATGCTCATTTGGTTAAATAAGTAAATCACTATAACTTTTAAGGTTAACTTATTGAGATGATCTGAGTAGTCTGTGAAGTTTCTTTTAAGAAACCCCACTCTTTATAGATAGCATGTGCCCCAGAAATCCTGTTATGCAATGCTTTGACTATGTTCCCAGTTTTGTGTTATAAATAGATTCACTGTTTAAAAACCCACTGAATGTTAATGAATGTTTTTTGCAGTCTTGTCCTACAGTGATTTTTGTACATTGTCTTGAGTATATGTAAAATCCATTTAGCTGTTTTTTTATTACTTTTCATTTAAATTTATTTCAGTGAAATAACTATATTTTCAAAGTTTCAGTAACTATATTTTCTATTGCAGGTGAAGGCTAATGATTCGGACTTGGGTCCCAATGGTGAGATTGAATACACATTACATCAGGCTGTTGATCCAGTGCCAAAACTTCTCCGGATAGACCGCTCATCAGGCATCATATATGTCAAAGGCCCATTGGATTATGAGGAGATCAATAATTTGAAGTTTTATGTCGTTGCACGAGACAAAGGCCCCTCGCCCAAAAGTTCTAAAACATATGTTTCTATTGATGTGACTGACCAAAATGACAATGCACCAGCAGTGGAAATCCGAGGCATTGGTCTTGTGACCCATAGTGATGGAGTAGCAAACATTTCAGAGGATATGCCTGTAGGCACTGCAGTGGCATTAGTCCAGGTTTCAGACAAGGACGAGGGAGAGAATGCTGTGGTGACATGTGTGGTTGCTGGTGATGTTCCTTTCCAGCTTCGGCCAGCCAGTGATTCATCAGTTGACAACAAGAGGAAGTATTTTCTGCAGACAACAACACCTCTGGACTATGAAAGGGTTAGGGACTACCGGGTGGAGATAGTGGCAGTGGATTCAGGCAATCCAGCTCTGTCCAGCACTAACTCGCTAAAGGTCCAAGTGACTGACACAAATGACAATTCCCCCATTTTCTCACCGACTCTGTTTGAAGTGGAGTTTGCTGAGGAGAACCAGCCAGGAGAAAAGGTGGTAGATGTAGTCGCCTCAGATGCAGACAGTGGCACTAATGCAGAGCTGGTCTACAGCATTATTGCAGACTCTTCAACAAGGGGACTTTTTGAGATTGACCCTAACTCAGGTGAAATACGTGCTCGGAGCCCTCTTGATCGTGAGCACAAGGAGCGCTATGAGTTCCGTGTTAATGCAGCAGATAAAGGCGTTCCCAGTCACAAGGGTACTGCCACAGTTGTAATCAAAGTACTTGATCGGAATGACAATGATCCCAAGTTCATGCTGAGTGGATACAGCTTCTCAGTCTTGGAGAACATGTCACCCCTTAGCCCTGTTGGCATGGTAACAGTACAGGACATGGACAAGGGTGAGAATGCTCAAGTGCAACTTTCTGTGGAACCGGATGTGGGCAAATTTGTGATCCAGAATGGGACTGGCACTATTCTGTCCAGTATCTCATTTGACAGAGAGAAGGAGAGCAGTTACACATTCCGCTTGAAAGCTGTAGATGGAGGGGATCCACCAAAGTCATCTTACGTTGGAGTGACCATCAATGTCCTCGATGAGAATGATAATGCCCCTGTTGTCACCAAACCATCTAACTCATCCTTCATACGTCTGTCTCCTATGGCTGCTCCAGACAGTGTTGTGGAAGTGGTCGAAGCTGAGGACATTGATTCTGGTTCCAATGCTGAGCTAGTATACAGCATTGCTGGGGGAAATCCACATGACCTTTTTTATATCACTCCATCTAATGGTGAGATCACATTAACCAAGGAACTAACTCGAAAACATAATGGTCTGCATCGACTGGTGGTAAAGGTGAGCGATAGGGGCAAACCTTCCCACCACGCCATTGCCTTGGTACACATTTACGTAAATGAAACCATTGCCAACGTAAGTCATGTGGAGGCACTTGTGGGGCATAGCTTGTACACCCCACTAGACATGGATATTGCAGGAGACCCAGATTACGGTTTGGCTGCTCAAAGAAGCAACATTGTATATGGCAGTTTAGCTGGAGTGGCGGGAGTGGTCACTGTGATTGTTGTAGTAGTCTTCATCAGGCATCGCCTTCAAAGAGAAGCTAAGAGTGGTTATCAGGCTGGCAAGAAGGAGACCAAAGATTTGTATGCCCCCAAGCAAGGGCCAAAAAGTGGCAAGGGGAGAAAGGGTAAAAAAGGTAAGCCACCAAAGTCACCTAAACCTCTTGGAGAGGATGAGGAAGTCAGCCTTCAAAAGAGTCTGAAATTTAACCTCGATGGGGTCAACGACAGCCCCAGGATTCATTTGCCTCTGACTTATCCGCCTGGAAGCCCTGACCTAGGCAGACACTACCGTTCCAATTCCCCATTGCCCTCCATCCAGCTCCAGGCCCAGTCCCCATCTGCCTCCCAAAAGCATCAGGCTGTCCAGGAGCTCCCTGCTGCCAACACCTTTGTGGGAACAGGCGGTGATGACAACTCCACCGGCTCAGACCAGTACTCGGATTACAGCTACAAGACCACTCAACCAAAATACAGCACAAAAACGGTACCAATCTTTATTTCTGATTTTGTATGTGTAATGCTGTGATGGAAAAATTGGTTTTGCTTGCAATTACTGATATGGGTCATTTCAATCTTGTTCAGAGTGGTACTTGTGCTAAAGCAGTGGGTGTCAATATATGAATATTATGCTATATGCTAAATATGATTCTCCTAATTTCGTTAGTTGTGGGTTCATTCACAGTGTATGACATGAAAAGACCATTTTGCCATACAAGAATCTGTCTGTTTGAAAGATGACAGAAATGGCTCTTGTATTGCATCATGTACCCTTTTATATATTCTCTGGCCACCAGTTCACTGTCTGAAAATACACTTCAATTTACTTTGTGATCAGACAAATGTCCAGTCATGAAATGATTTCATTGTATTTTTGTAGTGTAGGTAGAGTGCAAAATGGGCATATTTGCTAGAGCTCATGTTTTCTTAGATCTCTCATGAAATCCGATCTACTCAGTGAGAGGGGCCTGTGTGATCTGTTGCTATTGAATAAGTCCAAAGTCATTTTCTTTGGCTCAGATGTCAATTCAGTCTTAACCCATTTAGATGCCAATTCAACCTGCTAATTTCAGATGGAATCCAAGGGGAAAAAGTAAAGCAATTGGTGCTACGATTTGTACAAAACAAATTAAATTCCAAAAACAAATTCCACGATTAAGGGGAAACATAAGAAATTTCTAATTGAGTGTAATCTCCAGGGAGAGTGGTAGTGAAGTTTACTGGGCAGAGGCTTGAGACAGAAAGCAAGGGCACATGGGTCCTGACTCCGTCAGTACCAGTCTGGTGTTTGATAAAGCCAGCAGATGCTAGATGACAGTCAGGGTGAGTGCAGGCCTTGCAGACTCACTGACTGGGGAGAACAGTTACCCATGGCAGCTCCCACACCGTGATGGACAGCATATGGCATGGAAGTGACAATAGACTCCAGCTATGGAGAGCGTACTGCATTGGTGTGTATTGTTTCTATGTGTGTGTACTTCCAGGCTTCTGGATGCACTCATGTAATCCGTTTGTGTGAATGTGGGCTGAGTTTCCTGTTTGTGGACTGGTTTCAGCAAGTCAACCTAACTGATCAAATTCTTACTCGATGCCATGCGTTACATAAATGGATATTTGTATCTGTGAGAGTTGACTGATAGGCATATAAACAAGGGACAGATGTTGACTCATGTGACATCTCTTGGCAGATGTGAACTCGTGAGGGAACCCCCTCCATCCCATCCCAAACCCACATCAGGCTTAACAGATTGACCAAAATAAAAAATTTCAATCTCAGCCAAATTTAGTGACAGATGCGGAGAGTGGAGCGTGACAGAACGAATGGTAATATGCTCACCGATGACTCAGTGCGCGTGGCAATGTGCTCAGGTGCGTGTGACATCCTTGGCTCAAGCTCTCCCAGTTTAAGCTCTGATGAGTGTAAACATAGTGGCCTTGTTTGCCGTTTATTGCCATTGAGGATTGAGCATGATGACTGGCTTCACTGCTTTCCTTCCTGGTCCGTAAAAAACTCATTAAGAGGAGTTTGTTTGTTCGAAAAGACTTCTCCTGAGCTGTGAAAAAAAAAAACTCAATACTCAATTCACAGTGGCATGGCCTGACTCCGTAAAGAGAGATTTGTTTGAATGTGTTGCTGTGTGTTGTGTTTGTGCTTTCACAGTTCATGGATCTTCCCAAAACTCTCTCCCTATAACCTCCAAATGTGTTAGACTCTGTGACAGTTACCGAGGGGACTGCATGGGCTCATCAAGTACAGTGCTGATAATTAGCTTGGTCATGGCAAAGATCTAACACCTTTTTTGTGATGTGTTCCTCTCTCTCCGGAACAGCCTTGAGTGAGAGACATAGCGCACAGACGGGGATCAAGGAAGAGACCTTCCCAGTTATTTTTAAATGGGCATGATGAGAGTTTGTGAAGCTGTAAATCTGTACTTAAATTAAACCCATACAATTAAAATGCCTTATTAGACAGAGATAACAATTTGTTTCCCCCCCTCTTCACCATGGGCTGCCCTTCATCTCCTACTGGAGGGAGGAGGATTGGGAGGCAGGGATTAAGGTTGGATTTTGGGGTGGGCTTTAATAGTGAAACACATCTCCTAACCTTGCAAGTGCCAGTGTGTTGGAAGAGCACTCATAAAACACTAATATTGTGGCTGGGCAGGTGATGGTATATATTGTGAGTTGGTAGAAATGTCTCATTTGGCAAAGGTTTTGCATCTATACATATTAGTATGCATGAATGCTTTGCTTTTATTGATGGGGAGGAAGTTTTATAAAGGGAGCAGTGTGAAGCACAGTGTGTGTTTCACAACTTTCAGTAGAATTAATATGCAGTGTTGGGTTTTTTTATTTTATTTTTTTGATGATATCATTCTTTAAATGTCAAATAAATGCTTTATTGTCCATGTCATAACTAGGCCTGTCACGATAACAACTTTTTGTTGTGCGATATATTGCCCCAGAAATAATTGCGATAAGTGATATTATTGTCATTTTAAAGACCATTTTATGCCACTGAATATATAATCATAATGTAACAGCATAATAATGCAAGAAGGCCTACACACTTCCAAATGACAACAAACTTTTACTTTTTAAGAATATTTAGATCATAAAAATTAATTATCAAAATATTAGTATGCACAAAGGCACAGATCCCTAAACAAGATCATATCTGCAGATGAAACTTTTTTTGTAGAAGCATTTTTTAAATTTGAATTAGCACCTCATGACTACACCACGTTATGTACGAGAAGCTGCAAAAGACACAGGCGCGAGTGGAATGTAAAAAACATGGTGACATAAATTTTTAAGTAAATATAATGGGCAATATATTGCGTCACCAAAAATGATTGATGTCATGTACATATATTGAACGATAAGTCGATATATTGATTATTGCAACAGGCCTAGTCACAACATGACACACATTCTGACTTGAATGTATTTTTTTTTCTTTTTATTTCTGTGCCACTATTACTATTAAAACACAATTGCAAAAATAATGTTTTCCCCTAACACATTTAAGACACTGGTTGGACAAACAGGTACTTCTGTCACAAACTAATATGATGGTTGAGCCATTATTAATATATCCAGGCCAGTCGGTCCCTCAAACAAACAGATTGTAATTCCATGTGATGCAGCTAATGGTGCAGAAATATCGCACTTCACCTTTAATTAACTAAACCGTTTTTAGTTGATTTTCCAGGACAAATAACTATCGTGATACAGTCATACACTATAGATAAAGTGGTATAAAATTTCTCATAACTCTATATACAGTTTATAAGATTCAGCTCACCCTTACTCTGTGAGACTGCTTTGACCATCCAGGGCATGGCAAAACTAAGTAAAAGCAGTGAAGTGCAGACTAGAAAAGCATTGTAGCAGAAAAATAGCTCCAAGCCAAGCCTTATCACCACTCCATCTCTCTATCTTCATATCTACCACACACGCCTCATATTCTCTGGCAAGCGAAGCTTTAAGATAAGAGGATCTACCATCAAAAATGTTTCTACAGAGCATTCTTCATTTTTCTCTCTGTCTTTTCCTTTTTCACTTTTCTAAATTATGCAGCCAGTATAACAAATCCAATATGTCCATAAATCAACCCCGGCACCAAGAGAAGCTAAAAGAGTAAATATTCCTACTCAAATATTCTCTATGTGAACCAGTGTTGCCTTTATGGAGGCTGCCTCGAGGCCCTTCCCAGAATCCCACATTTTGAGCATCTGCTCAACCCAGCTCTGGCTATTATCCATAGCAGAATGCAGCCGTAAACCTAAAACCTGGCGCCCACCCTCTCAGATCTCCCCTCAGTGAATACAGCCCATAATACTCTCAGACTGCTCCTCATTAGAGCACAATACTGCCGGCATTCAGCTCCCTCTCGGTGGACCAATCTACTGTCAGGTGCGAAGGCCTCACAGGCTCATGCTCAGCGTGAAGACAACTGCTGCACTTACAGGAATTCAAGAGTTCGTGGCACCCTCTCTCCCTCTAGCCTGCAGGAGCGAACAACTAAGTAATTATCAAGAAATGCTTTGCAATTATATTCCACAGAGATCACTCATACTGAATGCAATTAGCACAAAAAGAACAAATTCCATTGCACCTACAGCTGGTATGATTGTGTCAACATGGCAGATGTCGTGAAGACAATGGGGAGGGTCAGATATGCATTCTTGTTTGCTCTTGAAATCTCGCTGGAGGGTCTCTCTGGGACTAACAAGTCTCTGCTGGCACTTACGGACGGACTGGTCTTGGCTGACACTTCAGAATCGATTGACCTGGACAAGCGCTCAGGGATTTAGTGCACTGGGCAGACATATTGCAAATGAGTAGTCTTGTCCAGTAGCGATAAGACGTATAGCCACGAAGGACGGTTTATAGTTCTTTCTTAGCCATTTTGTAGTCAAACCACATTTTGGCCACCAACCAATTTTAGGATGTTCAAGCCGGTTCTTCTGCCAAAATGATTCACTAGATATCACCACTCTGTTGGATCTCTACTTCAAATAAATGAGGCCGACATGACATTTTGAGTCTGGGCTAATCGATTCTCATGATCTTGACAAGCATGCTGGGATGGGCCCTGCAGAAATGACACCGTAGAATTGGATCATATCTCTCTGTCTCTCACTCCCTCTCCTTTCATCTCAAAAGAACACAAACTTTTTCAGAAACTTGAGGTTTTGAGTAGTGGAAAGACTTGCGTAAATCTTCACGCCTCTGGTCCAGTCCCTGTATGCGTTGTTGGCGATTTCGATCTAACATCCCAATGATTACCTGTTAAGAGGGATTACAGCCCCTACCCAGGAGGTGCTTCACTGGCAGGACACTGTTTCTCTGTCACCGAAGGAGATGGCTGATGTTGTTGAGCAGTTCGACAGCGAAGCGCAGCGCACCACATAAGCACACAGATGTGCAACTAATGATAGTGTCGTCAAAGACAAGGATAACAATAATTATAATGATTAT